TGTCATATCATTTGGAGCAGGGCCTAGGTCCTCCCCTGTGTGTCTAGGCTGAGACAGTATCCCTCTATGTGGATTGGGCTCCCAAAATCCATTCATGTATTAGGGATAAATGCTGATCCACTAACAGAGGCTCCATAGATTAACCATGCCTCCAAATTGACATCCTCGTTCAGGGGGTCTGGAACAGTCCTATGCTGGTTTCCCAGCCATCAGTCCCCCTTGTTCAGGTCAGCTGTTTCTGTGGGTTTCTCCAGCCTTGTTTTGACCTCTTTGCTCATCACTCCTCCCTCTCTGCAACTGGATTCCAGGAGTTCAAGCTCAGTGTTTAGCTGTGGGTATTTGCATCTGCTTCAATCAGCTGCTGGATGAAGGCTCTCGGGTGACATTTAAGGTATTCATCAATCTCATTATCGGAGAAGGGCATTTAAGGTAGCCTCTCCACTATTTAGATTGTTAGTTGGGGTCATCCTTGTAGATCTCTGGACATATCCCTACACTTTAGTGTTCTATCCCTACACTTTAGTGTTCTTAACGAAAACCTTTGAAGATATGGTGATGGGATACCACCACCAGATCAGGGACGGCAATCCTACCCAAAGAATTCGAGATCACCCGATATACGTATGTGGCAGAGCCAATGAGGATCAATTTTTACAGTATATGACCCATTTCATGCAATTCTCATAAAGCATATCACCCTGGTGAGAGGAAAATCATTGAACCACAAATGTATACTTGTTACTGGCCATGTATCAGTTTTCATCGAACGATGTTGGGGAATGTTTATGTGATCAGAATGCTAAACTCCTAGGTGTCAGAGGACAAGGGGAATGCAAATGAGTTTCTTGGACCAGCACAAAACAGAAGCATGTAAGAGATAGCTCTGTTCATCATCTAACAGAAGCATGGAAGAGATGGCCCTGTTCATCATCTATACTGAGTTTCTCAAGGTAACAAGCATAAAGGAAGAACAGAAAAGCAAATGCAAGCCCTCGAAAGGACAGCAGGAAAGAGGAAATTGCAGTCAAGTAGAAAGATCACTGAATGGAAAGAAGATCATCAACATCTCACATAGTCAAAGTAAAACAAGAGGGGGCAAGTTTTCAGTGGCATCAAATACAACAATGAATTAGCGGAAAAGAAGAGGCAAAAAGTGATCAAACCAGGGGGAAGTTCCCAGTGGTTTCTGAGGTTAAGTGATTCCTGGGTAGGTAGGTGGTTTCTGTTATATAAACACCAGATTACATAGAAGGAGAAGTTTAGATCAACATCTTGTTTTTCCCGGACCATTAAAGAGTTGTTATAATTAGACTCAGTCATTCATTCATTTATTCCATTAGCATTTACGGTGCTCTCATAAGCACCTAACTCCACTAAGCTCCATGGAGTAGGGCACCTAATAGAAAAGCCATAATTAAATCACCATGTTCCTTTCTTAGAAGCGATCTGGCAAAGTTTTAAATGAGAGACTTCTTAAAAAATGGAAGTCCTCACTGCCCTGTAGCTATTTTCAACTTATATTCTTTTCTAATATAGTAGCCTTTTGTTTTCCTTTCCTTCTTTTTTATAATTAGGAAGGTTTGCCGATCTAGAATGAGGGGCACCAATTTGGAAGGAAAAAAATAGTAAAATCAGAATACTGCAAGGAAAGGCAGGAATGGTATTTTTATCTTGTGTTAGATTTTACTCTACAAACACAGAAACCCACACAATGTAGCCCAAAGGAACCAAATCAGTCTCACACATGCAAACGCTTATATTGCCTTGCATCGCCATAACTTAGCAGATTTGTTTAGCCACACCACTGGCAAAGAACTAACTTGGATGTCGACGGGAGGTTAAAAAGAGCAAATCTCAAAGAATCTTGTGTGAGCTGTGAGGGAAAACAGAACTTGCATTTATTCCTTGTATTAGGTATGTGCCTCCACAACTCTTGGTGCCTACAACATAAACTGACTAGCCACATGAAACAGCCATGGAAAACTACCAAGCATTCCATATTTTCAGAAAACATGCCTACAGAGCTCTGGGTCTGTAGAGTCCCTGGAGTTCAGAGCCCCCTTGCAGCGCAGAATCTGGTACCCGACAGAAAGGCAGTCCACTGGATGCATTTGACACATCAAAAAAAATAATCATTTTAAATCTAAATATGGGTAAGATATGGAGGAAAAATAGCAAGTTTGCCACATTTTTATAAAAACAAAGCTTCAAAGGATTTATTTATTTTTTGGTTGGCATCTCTCCAACCCTAAAGGATTTTTTAATGAAGACTCAAATGCAGGCCTGTGTCACAGAAAGAACTTATTCAGCGAACTATTATGGATTTTAGCACGGAAAGGGATACCAGTACAAAGTGCTAAGTTTGACTTACATCACTAGAGCCCTTCAGTCTCAGCAGCTATGACTTTTGGTTTTTGTTTTTTTTAACCTTTTTATTTATTTTTGATATTTTGAGACAGGGTTTCTCTGTGTAGCCCTGGCTGTCCTGAACCTCCTTTTAAAGATTTGTTTACATATTATGCATACAGCTTTCTCCTTGTATGTATACCTGCACGCCAGAAGAGGGCACCAGATCTCAGAGATGCTTGTGAGCGTCCATGTGGGTGCTGGGAATTGAATTCAGGACCTATGAAAGAGCAGCCAGCGCTCTTAATCTACGCGTCATCTCTCCTGCCCCTCACCAACTATTTTAATCATCAAAGACATGTGAAACTTTCACTGCTCCGGTAGAACCTGAGAAAGCCAGGGCACCCATCACCACCACAATTACCGTTTACAATCCAATATGCACAAACATGGCAGCTGTATGGGTGGCCTTTTGCACTGTGCCATCCAAAATGAGGCCGACTTAAAACTAACCAAGGCACTTGGATGTGTACTGAGAGGTGTAGTATATTTTTATTATATATTTAAGTTAGAAACAAGCTTGCTTCACGTCAGTCCCAGCTCCCTCTCCCTCCCCTCCACACCCGCTCCTCCCCACCAGCCCCTTCACCCGTTTTTTTCTTTTTCTGCTTCCCATATTTTAATTTCCTACAGTTGTTTTTAGTGAGGAAAAAGAAACATTTTTACAAAAACTAAAAACCTTTAAAGGCTTTTCAAGATTAAAATGTCTTTGAAAAACTGTTGTGATGCCCCTTGAAATTCTTATTTCCCTACTGTCATTAACCTCTGTATTCTTTTTTTTTTTTTTTTGGTTTTTCGAGACAGGGTTTCTCTGTGGCTTTGGAGGCTGTCTTGGAACTCACTTTGTAGACCAGGCTGGCCTCGAACTCACAGAGATCCGCCTGCCTCTGCCTCCCGAGTGCTGGGATTAAAGGCGTGCGCCACCAACGCCCCGCCACCTCTGTATTCTTAACACTCTTATGTCAAAAGTCACACCTACCAAATACTCAAGAATATGCTTTTCCCCCAACGTCAAGCATTTCAACACAAGTACCTGAAATTCATCAACTAGGTTTCTTGTTTTAACATCTATTCATTGCCCAAAATGAGTTTTGTTTGTTATTTCTTGAGAGTCTTTAGTCAGCATGAAATGCACCAAGTAGGCTAGGTTGGCAGGCCAGGAACGCCCAGTGATCTGTCTCCACCTCCCCAGCACTGGGATTACAAGTATGCAACTCCTCTCCTGGCTATTTTAAGGTGGGTTCCAGGGATAGAACTCAGGTCTTTGTGCTTTCAAACCAAGGTAAGCACCATAGGTTGTTTGGGTCTCATTTTTCTTTTCTTTTCTTTTTTTTTTTGCAGGACTAAGAATTAGGGCCCCATGCCTGCTAGGCAGATGCTCTGTCCCCTGGGACCCAAATCCAACCTTTCATTACAACATTTTCATGCATGTAAACAATATACTCAGATCATATTCCACTCATTCACCTCTCTTTGTCCTTTTCCCCTCCAATTGGTCCCCTTCCTTATCATGAACTGGGTAGGTTTTGACCATTTTATTGATAATAATTGACTCCTTACCATGAATTCAGGGACTATGTTTTGAAACAGGGTTCGCTACTGGATGCACAGACCCAAAGTCAAAGAAACAATATTTCATTATTCTAAAGACACAGGCTACACGATTTCTCATGCAACTTTTCAATGCAAACTATACCACCAAAAAGGCCTGACCTCTTAAGAAAATGCTAAGCACATGTTATTTGATGACTTGGAATGTGATCTTATGATAGAGAATACTATTTGTAGACAGGGAGTGTATTTTTTAAATAACAGAGTCAAGGCCTTGGCCTTACCTTTCATCCCTAAAAATGGGACTCCATGTGGAAACATAAGGCTTTACTTTCTCAGTGGAAAACAACCATTCCAGTAGATTTTCTAAAAACTAACACGATTCTTTTAGAGGAAATGCAGGGTTTATTGTGTAAAGGATTAATATTTATTAATCAAGGATACAAGCCAAATGAACACTATTAAGCAAAATGTTGACAGTTGATGGGAACTATTATTTCAGCTTGTGAGGAAAATCTAGCTAAAGTTAATCAAGATAAGTTCCATTAAATTCATAAAGAAAATACAATGGTTCTGATACCACTAAAGTAATAATAACCTTTCAAATAACGAAGTATAATCAGTATAAATGCCTTAGTTTGGAGACAAAAATACACACATTGTGGCTGAAAGCTGATGTGTCACAGAACATGGGTAGTGGTTTGTAGTCTTAGTGCTTTGCACCCAAAGCCTGAGACCGCCACCACCACCCAGGAAAGCTAATGATAGGCACCATCTGATGACTAGCTGGATGGAAATTATACAATATGACTCTGCCTATCAGCAGAGACTAATGAAACATTTTTCTTCTTGATGCAGATTATACAATCAAGCCACATACTCTCAACTAGTAAGAGGCCCACTCAGGGAGGCCAATTTGCTATCATACTACATCAACAAAAATTCATAGGGCTTAAATTTCCATCACCACTGTATCAAAACAGCAAATTCACAGCACTTTTCACAGTTGCGACACTGAGAAATGAATTTCAAGGGAAACGTTATTATGTCATTTACAGTTTACTAGATCTTCCAGTGTTTCAGAGATACAGGGACATAGGAATAGGATAGAAAGTGGACACAGAACATAGTAAGACACAAATATCTTGATTAAATCAGTCTACTGGTGTAGTTTTACAGGATAATCAGTTGTCAGTCTCCATCCAGACGATGTTAAAACTCATAAGGGTAACCTTAGTATCCAAAAATTAAAGAGAAAAAAGGTTAATTTACTTGTTACTTAATTTCATCATCTGCATTTGCCTATACCCTGCTCTATTCCCACTAATGAAGACCTCCCCATTTGCTCACAAACAGTGGCCCAATTAAAATATAACAGGTACACTAGAGATTAATTCAGCCAGTAACAATTACATGCTATACCTGGTTTCTGGTTTAAACCAGATGAACTTAATTCATCTAAATCCAGTCTATCAAAAATACTTTTCTACCAACAACACTCTTAGGCATTGATTAAGACTGTATGGTGAATGAAAATTAAGGATTAGGGGAAATGCCAACATTAGTCAAGAGCAGGACATATTTTCCTGAATACTTCACAAATTAAAGGTCATGGCTAGACTCTTAAATTTTCCCCAACTCTAGGTCAAAACACCTGAGAAAGGAGACCTCTTGTGATCTTCAGGTTGACATGTATAGGCTACACTTAAATTCAGACGAGCTCTTTTATTGCACAAACGCTTGAAAACGCAAGCATGGATAAGCATCATTAGTGCTTTCAGGCCAGCCGTGCAGATAGAAAGCTGACCAAGAAGGAGATTTAAATAAGCTACGGGAAAACATCTTGGAAAATGTAGTTCATAATTCATATGCACAAGCTACCATAATATCAATATGAACAGGGTTAAGAATCAAACTGCGCATACCTTAAAGTTGGAGAGGAATAAGCCCGTGTGTATATGGTTATACTATTTCATACTGATTATTTGTTATAGCACGAGAAAGGCAGTAGGCGAGAAAGATTCCAATTAGCTGGAGAGAAAATATGAACAAAATTAAACACACACATACACACACACGTATATATGTATGCTATATACCTACTGGTAGGATTAAATTCTTCTAAGTCTTACTTTTATAGATTCAAGACATGACTGGCTATGGCAATGGACTTTAAAATTTAGAGCTATTTGTAGTTGTGTAAAACACAAGAGCCAGGAAGTCCTCCACTTGAAAAAATAAACTAAATAAAGACCCAACTACAAATCCAAATCAATAATAAACATTGAAAGTAAGTGCCATGACTTCACCATAGGAAAAGTCAGAGGGCTGCTCTCCTGTGATGGCTAATTGACTGCTTTTTGAGAAATAAGACTTCTCTTACACAGTCTATGGTAGCCGGTCCCCTCTTACACTGTCTAAGGTAGCCGGTCCCCTCTTACACTGTCTACGGTAGCCGGTCCCCTGAAGCCAAACCTTCACACCTTGAAAGTGAAACCCAGCTGGCTGTGCTGGCACATGTCTTTCATTATATCACTTGGGAGGGAGAGGAAGGTGGATCTTCTGGAGTTCGAGGACAGCCTGGTCTACATTTTGAGTTCCAGGCCAGCTAGGAATACATTGTGACACTCTGTCTCAAAGAAACAACGTCCCCCTCCCCCAAAGCAACCACCTAAATCTTTCTCTTATACCTACAAGAATTAGACATTTCACAAAGAACAAATCTTACCTGAAAGCAAGCAACTCCAAAAGAAATTCCAGCAACGACCCCCATTTCTGACTCTATAATTGCCATTACCTTTATGAAGCAACCCTAATGGCAGAGGAAAGACATTAAGTACAAAACTAGAAAGCTGTGTTTTTCTTCCTGGTAATTACTATTTTGACCATTCAGCTTTCCACAGAAGATGGTTTTGAGCTATGATTAGCCTTTATCATTTTACTGAAATCTAGCCTGTTTTATCTGCTCCTAGTCTCAACTAGTTTCACCTTCTGGGTAATGCATTGGAAAGTCACTTGCTATTAGTACAAGCTACCCTACAAACATCAGATTATGCATATTCACACAAGTAACACTTTTATCCATATTTTGTATTCCATTAAATCCTCAAACATTGTCAAAAATCCCTAAAAGGGCCCTTACCTCTTCGTTGACTTTAGCTGTATCTCTTTGTGGAGAACATCCTTCGAGTTTACAGCAGCTCTTGGGAAATCCTGTTTCTGAGTAATAATTAGTGCCTTTCCAATCTGTATAGTCAGTGACACCACAACAATGCAACTGAAAAAAAATTAAAAAGCATTTGTACTCATTCATATTACTGGCTTGCAGCCAAGCATTTAACCTTAATTTCCTATTGTAATATGTGACCAAAACAATATGTAACATACTGGATGATCTCTCTCTTCTTGATTAGGTCAACAGACTGGCACTTGATTCTAACAATAAGCATAAAAGTTTTAAGCTGACTCTACTGCCCTGCCGTGTTTGGCACTAACAGTATTTGTCTATGATGTAAGTGGGAGAAAGAGAACAAGGACACGTAGGTAGACTAACACATAGTTTTGTAGTATCATCCCACACTACTTTTCCATACACAGGGAAACACCTAGCAGCCTAGTTCCATCCTTTCCGCTGAGGCAATAAGGAGGGACCAGCCCTAACCACTTACCGTACTTTGGATCTTGTCTACAGCTTCACTTCTATAATCCTTTGTGGAGTTGTACTCCTTTAAAGCATTTTCATAGTTATTCTTAAAGCTGTTCTTAATCTGTATCAGAAAAGTAAAATGCCAATAAACAAATATTCTAGAAAACACTTGGGGTTGCTATATCAAGTAAGAAAGTCTAATGTCTGGCCAATGGTTATATCTTTGAGGTGCGGTAATTAACTTCCATGATCCAATTTTGTCTACTAAGGGATATAGTTTGTCTGAAAGAACTATAAAGCAAGATGTTACAATATATTTTTTTGAGCTGCAAATTTTTACTTTAGAAGACTGCACTAGCCGGGTGGTGGTGGCTCACACCTTTAATTCCAGCACTCGGGAGGCAGAGGTAGGCGGATCTTTGTGAGATTGAGACCAGCCTGGTCTACAAGAGGGAGTTCCAGGACAGCCTCCAAACCTACAGAGAAACCCTGTCTCGAAAAACCAAAAAACAAACAAACAGACTGAACTAACAGTTCCAACGATGCTTGATGAATGGCCTCTACACACTGCCATGTTTACTTCATTTTCATAAATAACTATTAAGATTTTGATGATTTGCATTAATTATTTTTCAAAACGTGACTTACGGGAAGGTATTAATTTACCTACAGACTTTGTATCTTACTTTCCTATTAGTAAGGTTATAAAGCCCCACTTTACTAGGTGCGTATGCACCAAATTATAACTAGAAACTGGTGTGAATGTGGCACCATTTTCTTCTAGTGATTACTATCTTACACATTTTTCAATGTTCATTTACATTAAAATTATGTCAGATTTTTTAGTAGAAAACCACTACTGTCCAGATTGAGGTTCCAAGTTTAGCCTGAAATACAGCCTGAAGTGGTTTTTAAAAATAATGAAAGCTGTCAAGCCGTGCTACATAACCTAAGATGATAAATTTTAACATAGTATGATTGTCTAATTCAGGCTTACCTCATGTCTGAAAACAAATCCTACAATGGCAGCAACTAGTTCGACCAAAAAAATGAGTGTCAGAAACATCGCATACTGTGAGGTAAAAATGGAAAAGAAAGTTCAAGTTAGGACAAATCAGACTCATTGAAGCTGCAAGGGGGGGTGGGATTCCAGGCAATCAGTTCAACATATTTTATTGAAAAGGGTAGGGAAAGCAGTATCAAAATGTCTACTTAAATATGGAAGCCAGTAGTGGGACTGTTAGCTTTTTTCATAAGGAATGGGAAGAAGTGTAAACAGCTATGATCAGTTCCGAGAAACAAAGACACAAGGTTAGAACATGTAAGACTTCTAAGAAAACCAAGAATAGTCTAAAGAAATCAGGGACTCACCAGTTTCAGCATCCATGCAGAGGCTCGACAGGTAGCAAAACAACCAAAGGTGCCCAAGAGAATAATGACAGTGCCTGTGCCAATGAGCACAAAAGGGACATTGGTGGCCCTCTCATTTAAGAGGGAAAAATAATTTTCCAGGCTCACCTTGCCCCAAATGCCAACGGCAAGAAGGATAACACCAGTGATCTACATGAGAAATCAGAGAAAGAAACAATTAGGCACCATACAAGCTTGTGTATTCTATCACCAACTCAGGAAGTGTCTTAAGACACAATTGGTGTGAGAATGAATTTAGCAGTGTGGTTGCCTCAGAGCGGTGGCTAGGATAAGGGGGTGAGGGGCAGGTGCTGACAAGGCACAACAGGGTTCTGAAAATAAAGGAAGCTTGTGGACAAGGCATCTTCTCAAACTCCATCTGTTGTATTGTGTAAAACATACCCCACGGCATACGTGTCTAGAGATCAAATTTTCCTCAAGCAATTTACTCCAGTCTGAGAGAGAAAGCCATTTTGTAAGGGGGAGGATCAGAAGCATTTCGGGATTCCAGAAACTTCTTGCATCCCCCATCCCCAATTTAGGGATGGACATAGGATACAAAGGGATGGTACACAAAAGAAAACCCAAGGATAGACTGGCAGGAATAGAATCACACCATACTTACCTGTGAAAAACTCCCCTCTTATGAAGCAGTGAAAAGAGAGATACTATTATGCAAAAGACCCCCCTCAAAGGGAAGGAGACAAGTCTCTCATCTTCAAAGGTTTAGGGACACCTTGTGTGCTCTAGGGGCCTTAACTCTGGTCTTCATCTCTCGCTCCAACCTCGATCTCCTGAGACATCTGGGTTCCACTTCAACCAGGCATATCGCATCAAGATCCCAGCGCCAATGCTACAACGCCCCAGATCCAATCTCGGGGACCCTGCCACTGCGGCCTAGGCCACTGGTCGCCAGCGCTGGGGTCTCGGGAACCACAGCCACCCAAACCTCATCCCATTCCAGACCTGAGGTTCTCTGCTCCGGGTCACACCCACCACCTAAGCCCGGGTTCCCCAGCCGTTCCCGTGTCTCACCCAAAAGATGAAAGTGTAGATCAAGAGAACGCTTTTGAAACAAGTAATGACTGGTTTAGTCTGCAGCCTCCGAGATGGGGACGCCATGACTAGCCCGAGACCCTGCGCCTCGGCAACGGGCGATCACTCGAGCCAGTCAGGCGCGGGAGTTCCCGAGTTTCCCCGAAAACTGCCGAAAACTTACGAGTGTCTGCAACTGAGAAGAGCCGGAAACACGCTACGATTTTCTAGAGGGTCAAGTCTAGGAGGCTGTCCGGAAAGTTGCGACAATTTCGGAGCGCCCTCTGCTGTACGTTACTGAAAACTGTATATAAAGCTTCTAGTGGAGCTTGCTTCATTTTGTTGTTCGTCCTGTGGAATCTTTCCCGTCTCCTACCCACCTCTCTTCCCCAACCCCCCTTTTCTAAAACTTCATCATATGTTGTTTATCACTGCCAGCAGTGATGGAAGGTCCAGCCTCCCAGGTCCCTAGTGCCCTGAAAGAAAAGAATAAAAACAAAAATCAGATTACCCTCCACTTGGATACAAACAACTTTTGCCTCTCATGGGAATAACAGGGTAGGGATATTTTCTTCTAATCAAATTTGTAGTACTTAAATAAATACAAATGGATGAAGTTATATAGGCACCCTGATCTCCTTTGTTACTGGTGCATTAACGGAGGAGAATAGTAGTGGGGGAGTATTCATGGGTGCAAAGACTCAATGTTAATATGAATTGATATATATTCCTGTTTCATAAAAATATAACCTTTCTTGAGAAAATGGTATTCTCTGGAAAATCTGACTTGAAACTAACAGCAGTCACACAAATTTATACGTTCCTTTGTCTGTACAGTGAGACATAGCAGTGAAGTTTTGCAATTGGATATCCAGACATTTAAAATGTGAGAATAAAGTATGCTATTATCTCCTGCTAAAGCATGTGCGTAGGTACTTGCTTTGGTGTTATGGATTATGAATATATTGATTTATACTGTTACATCACAAAATGCACATTGAGGGCTGGTTTCTTTGAGAGCAGAGATGGTTAAGTGTGTGCTATAACTACAGGGATCAAAGGCAATATCAGTCTCTATGCAATATACTTCATATTCAATAAAGCCCTTACAGTCAGGTTATATGTTCATGAAAGACAAGTGGATGCCCAAACTTTTTCTACTTGAAACTGTGCTTGAAACACATGCTGCCACAGAAACTGAGAATTCTCACAACAAAGTTCCATTGACTTGATCATGAAGGCTTTCCTGTGCTTTAAATATTGACCTGGGACCGGTTCCTATAACATCCAACCAGACGTCTGCAGTCCAAGGAAACACCACTTGGAAAATGAGTTACTTCATTGCCAGGGTTTATACTGAGTTTTACCCCTAAATTACAAAGATGTGATACACAAATGCATGGGAAACAGAGTGTATGTGTGTGTGTTTGTGTGTTTGTCTGTGTGTGTTTGTACGTGTTTGTTTATGTGACTGCGTATGTCTGTGTCTGTGTGTTTGTATGTGTGACTGTATGTGACTGTGTATGTGTCTGTTTGTGTGTGTGTCTGTAAATGTGTCTGTGTGTCTTTGTGTGTCTGTCTGTGTGTGTATTTGTGTGTGTGCTTGTGTATGTGCTTGTGTCTGTTATGTGTGTGTCTGTGTGTTTGTGTGTCTCTCTGTGTGTGTCTGCATGTGTTTGTGTGTGTTTGTTTGTGTTTGTATGTGTGTTTTAGTGTATGTGACTGTGTGTGTCTGTGTGTGTCTGTGTAAGTGTGTTTGTATGTGTGAGCATATGTGATTGTGTATGTTTGTGTGTCTGTATATGTGTCTGTGTGTATTTGTGTGTCTGTCTGTGTGTGTGTATCTGTGTGTGCTTGTGGGGGTTTGTGTGTGTCTGACTGTGTGTGTTTGTGTCTGTGTGTGTTGTGTATGTGTTTGTGTGTCTGTGTGTGTTTGTGTGTTTGTATGTGTCTGTGTGTGTTTGTGTGTGTTTGTGAGTGTGTGCCTGTGTGTTTGTGAGTGTATCTGTGTATATGTGTGTTTGTGTCTGTGTCTGAGTGTGTCTGTGTGTCTTTGTGTGTGTATCTGTGTATGTGTCTGCATTTTTGTGTCTTTTTGTGTGTTTCTGTGTGTTTGTGTGCGTCTGTGTGTGTGCCTGTTTGTCCGTGTGTGTGTCTGTTTCTGTAAATGTTTGTATATGTGTCTGTGTGTGTTTGTATGTGTTTGTGTTTATGTGTCTGTCTCTGTGTGTATTTGTGTCTGTGTGTGTGTATTGTTTGTGTGTGTGTCTATGTGTGTTTGGGTGTGTGACTGTGTATGTGTTTGTGTGTGTGTCTGTGTATTTGTCTGTGTGTGTCTTTGTGTTTGTGTGTGTTACTGTGTGTCTGTGTGTGTCTTTGTGTGTGTCTCTGTGAGTGTCTGTATGCATGTTTGTGTGTGTTTGTGTGTCTGTGTACATGTCTGTGTGTTATTGTGTCTTTTTGTGTGTTTCTGTGTGGGTTTCTCTGTGTGTGCTTGTGTGTGTCTGCGTGTCTTTGTGTGTCTGTGTGAGTCTTTGTGTTTGTGTGTGTTACTGTGTGTTTGTGTGTGTGCCTCTGTGTATATCTGTATGCATGTTTCTGTCTGTTTGTGTCTGTGTACGTGTCTATGTGTTATTGTGTCTTTTGTGGGTTTCTGTGTGTGTGCTTGTGCATGTCTGCGTGTCTTTGTGTGTGTTTGTGTGTGTGTCTTTGTGTGTCTGCGTGTGTGTTTGTGTTTGTGTGTGTTACTGTGTGTCTGTATGTTTGTGTGTATCTCTGTGTATGTCTGTATGCATGTTTGTGTGTGTTTGTGTGTCTGTGTACATGTCTGTGTTATTGTGTCTTTTTGTGTGGGTTTCCCTGTATGTGCTTGTGTGCATCTGTGTGTCTTTGGGTGTGTTTGTGTGTGTCTTTGTGTCTGTGTGTGTCTTTGTGTTTGTGTGTGTTACTGTGTGTCTGTGTGTGTGTCTCTGTGTATGTCTGCGTGCATGTTTGTGTGTGTTTGTGTGTCTGTGTACATGTCTGTGTGTTATTTTGTCTTTTGTGTGTTTGTGTGGGTTTCTCTGTGTGTGCGTGTGTGTCTGTGTGTCTTTGGGTGTGTTTCTGTGTATGTCTGCATGAATGTGTGTGTGTTTGTGTGTCTGTGTAAGTGTCTGGGTGTTATTGTGTCTTTTTGTGTGTTTCTGTGTGGGTTTCTCTGTGTGTGCTTGTGTGTGTCTGTGTGTCTTTGTGTGTGTTTGTATGTGTGTCTTTGTGTGTCTGTGTGTGTGTCTTTGTGTGTGTTTGTATGTGTGTCTTTGTGTGTCTGTGTGTGTGTCTTTGTGTGTGTCTCTGTTTGTGTATGTATGCATGTTTGTGTGTGTTTGTGTGTCTGTGTACATGTCTGTGTGTTATTGTGTCTTTTTGTGTGTTTCTGTGTGGGTTTCCCTGTGTGTGCTTGTGTGTGTCTGTGTGTCTTTGGGTGTGTTTGTGTGTGTCTTTGTGTGTCTGTGTGTGTCTTTGTGTTTCTGTGTGTTACTGTGTGTCTGTGTATGTGTCTCTGTGTATGTCTGTGTGAATGTTTGTGTGTGTTTATGTGTCTGTGTACATGTCTGTGTGTTATTTTGCCTTTTTGTGTGTTTCTGTGTGGGTTTCTCTGTGTGTGCGTGTGTGTCTGTGTGTCTTTGGGTATCTTTGTGTGTGTTTCTGTGTATTTCTGTATGCATGTGTGTGTGTTTGTGTGTCTGTATATGTGTCTGGGTGTTATTGTGTCTTTTTGTGTGTTTCTGTGTGGGTTCCTCTGTGTGTGCTTCTGTGTGTCTGCGTGTTTTTGTGTGTGTTTGTGTGTGTGTCTTTGTGTGTCTGTGTGTCTTGTGTGTGTCTCTGTGTATGTCTGTATGCATATTTGTGTGTGTTTGTGTGTCTGTATCGTGTCTGTGTGTTATTGTGTCTTTTTGTGTGTTACTGTGTGGGTTTCTCTGTGTGTTCTTGTGTGTGTGTGCGTGTCTTTGTGTGTCTTTGTGTGTGTGTTTGTGTGGCTGTGTGTGTCTTTGTGTTTGTGTGTTACTGTGTGTCTGTGTGTGTGTTTGTGTGTGTCTCTGTGTATGTCTGTATGCATGTTTGTGTGTGTTTGTATGTCTGTGTACATGTCTGTGTGTTGTTTTGTCTTTTTGTGTGTTTCCGTTTGTGTTTCTCTGTGTGTGCTTGTGTGTTCGTGTCTTTGGGTGTGTTTGTGTGTCTGTGTGTGTCTTTGTGTTTGTGTGTGTTACTGTGTGTCTGTGTGTGTGTTTGTGTGTGTCTCTGTGTATGTCTGTATGCATGTTTGTGTGTGTTTCTATGTCATTGTACGTGTCTGTGTGCTAATGTGCCTTTTTGTGTGTTTCTGTGTGGGTTTCTCTGTGTGTGCTTGTATGTGTCTGCATGTCTTTTTGTGCCTGTGTGTGTTTGTGTGTGTGTCTCTGTGTATGTCTGCATGCATATTTGTGTGTGTTTTTGTCTGTGTACGTGTCTGTGTGTTATTGTATCTTTTTGGGTGCTTCTGTGTGGGTTTCTCTGTGTGTTCTTGTGTGTGTGTGCGTGTCTTTGTGTGTGTTTGTGTGTGTGTCTTTGTGTGGCTATGTGTCTTGTGTGTGTCTCTGTGTATGTCTGTATGCATGCTTGTGTGTGTTTGTGTATCTGTGTAAGTGTCTGGGTGTTATTGTGTCTTTTTGTGTGTTTCTGTGTGGGTTTCTCTGTGTGTGCTTGTGTGTGTCTGTGTGTCTTTGTGTGTGTTTGTATGTGTGTCTTTGTTTGTCTGTGTGTGTGTCTTTGTGTGTGTTTGTATGTGTGTCTTTGTGTGTGTCTCTGTGTATGTATGTATGCATGTTTGTGTGTTTGTGTGTCTGTGTATGTGTCTGTGTGTTATTGTGTCTTTATGTGTGTTTCTGTGTGGGTTTCCCTGTGTGTGCTTGTGTGTGTCTGTGTGTCTTTGGGTGTGTTTGTGTGTGTCTTTGTGTCTGTGAGTGTCTTTGTGTTTCTGTGTGTTACTGTGTGTCTGTGTGTGTGTCTCTGTGTATGTCTGTGTGCATGTTTGTGTGTGTTTGTGTGTCTGTGTACATGTCTGTGTGTTATTTTGTCTTTTTGTGTGTTTCTGTGTGGGTTTCTCTGTGTGTGCGTGTGTGTCTGTGTGTCTTTGGGTGTCTTTGTGTGTGTTTCTGTGTATTTCTGTATGCATGTGTGTGTGTTTGTGTGTCTGTATACGTGTCTGGGTGTTATTGTGTCTTTTTGTGGGTTTCTGTGTGGGTTTCTCTGTGTGTGCTTCTGTGTGTCTGCGAGTCTTTTGTGTGTGTTTGTGTGTGTGTGTCTTTGTGTCTTTGTGTGTGTCTCTGTGTATGTTTGTATGCATATTTGTGTGTGTTTGTGTGTCTGTGTACATGTCTGTGTGTTATTTTGTCTTTTGTGTGTTTCTGTGTGTGTTTCTGTGTGTGCTTGTGTGTGTCTGTGTGTCTTTGGGTGTGTT